GGGAAGGAACATCTAGACACAGATGGGGTGCATAAAGATGGCAGCCTCACCTCCAGCTTCCATTCACATCCTTAAAAGTTGGGAAACAAGCATGCTGTCCCCTGGACTATGCGGTAAATCACTACTCAGGCCCAAACTTGCTTAGGGTGCCTCCTGGCTCAGCTTCGTTCTCAGGATGTTCTGAAAATTGGGAAGCACCAGCACAGCACTTTCTGGAATATCAGGAGTACTTTCTCTTCCCTAACAAAGTCCTCTGTCAGACATATCCAGGAATTATGCAGAACCGCTGGATATTTTCACATGGATATTGTTAACAGGACATGGAGGGTGCAGAAATTGGGAGGTCTTGCTATTCTTTCTTCACTGTTTTNACTTGTTATTCTTTATTGACTGTTTTTTTAATATATACTTTTTATTGGACTATAACATACATCCACTTTTTAATTCGGATGCATACTTCATTCTGAAAAACAAAATCATATTGTGTGACTCAGTTTCTCTGAACAGGGGATGACTGTTCAACTTTGTGGCCAAAAAGAGTTTGAAGACTCTGTAAGAGGAGACAAATCAAATGCTGTTACCCTTCTGGAAACCCAAACTCCTNTCTTGCTATTCTTTCTTCACTGTTTTTTTAATTATACTTTTTATTGGACTGTAGCATACATCCACTTTTTAATTTGGATGCATATTTCATTCTAGAAAACAAAATCATATTGTGTGACTCAGTTTCTCTGAACAGGGGATGACTGTTCAACTTTGTGGCCAAAAAGAGTTTGAAGACTCTGTAAGAGGAGACAAATCAAATGCTGTTACCCTTCTGGAAACCCAAACTCCTTTGGCCCCTTCAATATCATAAATGGTGCCATAGGTGTTACACTTCATTGTCTGTCACATGTCAAAGCAAACTGTCAATTTAAAAACNTTCAATATCATAAATGTTGTTATGATAGGTGTTACACTTCATTGTCTGTCACATGTCAAAGCAAACTGTCAATTTAAAAACTCAGATTCTGATGGTCCTAGTCATATTCATCACTAGTTNTAGGACCATGAGACAGAAGAGATGCGTGAAACCTGTGGTTTACAATTCATGGCTGTGTCCCCAGGTCGTCCTGGTGGCAGGTCCTTCCTCAGCATCGGCCCCACTGTCCTCTTTGCANCAGGACCACGCGATAGAAAAGATGCATGAAACCTGTGGTTTACAATTCATGGCTGTGTCCCCAGGTTGTCCTGGTGGCAGGTCCTTTCTCAGCATCGGCCCCACTGTCCTCTTTGCAGCTGGTTAAGCCTTAAGTTTGGGGAGAGGATGTTGGTGTGAGGGGATGGCTTTGCTCCTCACTGGTGATTCTCGCCTTGGGTAGAGCCAACTACTTCGTGCATTATAACGAGGCTGCCCAGTGCTGGCAGTAATACTCAACTGAGATCCTACAGCACTGGGAACACTTGGGCCCCTGCGAAGATCCACTGTAAGGACAGAACCAAGAAGCGATGAACTTTTATCGCAGGGCTTAGCCTATGCTTACTGTGCCAGAAACAAAGCAGAACACTCGCTGTTCTAAGGCGATGGGTGCTTTGCATAATTCTGCATCAGAGAATGTTATAATCTTATTTCTACTGGGATGCTCTTCTAGGTTAGCAGGTTGCCATGGCATCCATACCCAGCATGGTGGCCCCCATTTGTCTGGTGGAAAACAGCAATGAGCAGCTGTCAGTGAATCAGGAAGCTCTGCAGATTCTTGACCAGATTTCTCAGCCAGTGGTGGTCGTGGCCATTGTAGGACTGTATCGTACAGGCAAGTCCTACTTGATGAACCGTCTTGTAGGACAGAACCATGGTGAGTGTGGCCTCAGGCAGGGGTCAATTTCTTGACTCCACCTATATCACAGCTTATCAGCTCTCTTCCCTGGTACATGAAGAGAGAACCAAACTCCTCTCAATAAACCAACCTTCTAATTTTATTCTCACCACTAAACTATTACCCGAATGTATTTTCTTGCCATATTCATTGTTTTACTCCTATTAAGGAAACTCTCTCCTACCAATGGGCAGACTCCTGCCTTGTTTTACCTGTGCAAGCACTGGGGTCTTGAAATTGGGCGACCTCTCCCTCTTATAACATGTTTNGATAAACCAACCTTCTAATTCTAATTCTCACCAGTAAACTATTACCCGAATGTATTTTCTTGCCATATTCATTGTTTTACTCCTATTAAGGAAACTCTCTCCTACCAATGGGCAGACTCCTGCCTTGTTTTACCTGTGCAAGCACTGGGGTCTTGAAATTGGGCGACCTCTCCCTCTTATAACATGTTTTGCTTTCTCTATGAAATATTCCTATCAGCATATAAAGATGTTTGAATATCAATCACCATGTTTAAAAATTATTGTGAGTTCACATCCCACTGTAGCTAATAATCTCTCTCCACGCTCTGCCATTTTTTTTTTANTTGTGGCTAATAATCTCTCTCCACGCTCTGCCATTTTTTTTTTTTAATCACTTTGACTGGAATAAATACTATTTCAATTTATTTTTCTTTAGATGTCTCTCTGTTATCTACCTCTGCCCGGTTTGCACTAGACTGTTCTTTTAAAATGCTCGTATAGTATTCAGTGGCCTTTATTGTGTCTGGTTCATGGATGCCCCCTGCCTCCATTTCGAGCCCTTGCTGGGTATCATTCTCACAGTTGACATTCACCTCCTCCTTGAAATAGATGACATACAAAGTGAAGCATTCTTACAAAATAGAGAAAGCACTATCTTATATTCTGGGGTTCTTACAGTGCAACAAGTCTGACTTTGTAGCCCTTGGCTGCTTAGGTTGTCTGTCGTCACTGTGTGTTGGGTCTCCCCTTCCATGATAGGCTTCCCTCTGGGCTCTACGGTGCAGTCTGAAACCAAGGGCATCTGGATGTGGTGTGTGCCTCACCCCTCTAAGACTGATTGCACTCTGGTCCTTCTGGACACCGAGGGCCTGGGCGATGTGGAAAAGGTAAGGCAGAGAGTCACAGACACATTGTTTTCAGTCTGGATATTCTCATAATGATCTCTTTAACTTAACTGCTTGTTCTATTTGTGAAATCTTGAAATCCAACTATATATCAGGCACATTTTCATTGGTTTGNCATCTGGTTGCACTAGGCTTACTCTCCAGCCTAAACTTCTTGACCTACCTCCTGTTCCAGTGAGATCAACTAAGTCTACTTTTATTGAAAAGACCCCTGTATTCTGCCATGTCTACTTTTGCTTCCGTGGGTCTTTCTGCCCACAGGATACCTTCATTTCTTCAAGTTCACATTCTACCAAGTCTTTCATTTTCTGTCAAGATGCTGAGGAAAACTTTGTGTTCTGTGAAATTTTCCAACTTTTAGAGCTCTGGTCTTCCATGATGGACCTGTAAATTTTTATTGACTACATCTATAGGTTCCAGTGCTTCTATACATTATTCAGATGTAAGCCGCCTGTAGATATTGTTATCTTTGTTGCATTCTTTGTTATAGGTGTCTCTCACGGCTGCAAAATACTTGTCTTGAAAGTAGTATTTCTCACTTTCAACTGCTTTTTAAATTTACCAGCAGTGGAAATATTCAGTAGTTACTCAAAAACATTTCTTGAGTATATCCCCAGTTGTTAACTATGGTATATTTTATGTAGTTCATGACCAACAAATGGTGTAGAGTGAATATGTGGTAACACTCTTCATTGAACCTAGTTGCGCACCAGGTACTGCATTAAGCTTTTCTATGTTATTTATTTCATCCAATTGAATCAAAAGAAAGCCATGTGATCACAGAATCCTTTTATATATGAAAAAATTCAGTCACAAGAAATGTTTTGTAATTGTCAAAGCCAATATGTGTATTTACTCCTGTCTTCAAACTTATTTCTTTGCATGGTGAGTACATAGCTGAAATAAAACTAACAGGCTGCTAGACTCAGTGTCTGAATGAAGTTCTACAGGGTAAACTCCTAAATGTCTTGACCTAATGTGCTTCCAGGGTGACCCTAAGAATGACTCGTGGATCTTTGCCCTGGCCGTGCTCCTGAGCAGCACCTTTGTCTACAACAGCATGAGCACCATCAACCACCAGGCCCTGGAGCACCTGCAGTATCCTTCCAGGAACCAAACCACTGTGTGTCGTGGAGTCTCTGGGAATGGAGATCCAGTCAGTTTCTCCTTCCTTCTCACTAGATTGCCTTTGGTGGACCAGAAGGAACCATAGCAAAAGGGACTGTTTATAATACATTATTTTGTTAGAAAATAGGGAACTGTGGGTAGAAAGTTTATTTTCCTTAGCCAAGTCCTAGTTATGTGACAGAGCTGACAGAACTCATCAGGGCAAAGTCCTCTCCTACATCAGATGGAGTAGAAGATTTCTCAGAGTTTGTGAGTTTTTTTCCAGACTTTATCTGGACTGTGCGGGATTTCACCCTGGAGCTGATGTTAACCGGCTGCCCTATCACAGAAGATGAGTACCTGGAGAATGCCTTGAAGCTGATTCCAGGTAACCGCACATGGCTGGGCAGTGGATGGTCCAATACAGGGTGCGAGGTATTAGACACCATGTCTGGAGTTGCATTTGTACTTGAGACTACATGAAGTCTGTAGAAAAGATGGCTGGGAGAGGGGTTGAAAAGCGCCGTGGACTGGAGTTTAAGTCCACGTAAGAAAAGGAGAGCCTGAAGTAGAGTAAAATGATTCATAACCAATTTGTTCTTTCCCCAATATGTAATTTAGCATCCAGTTGTAACCTAGAATACAGGGATGCTAAAGCCTTCTAAAGACCAGGCACTTTTGTTTGTTATTTTAGCTTCTGCTTTTCCGTGCTGAGGAAAACAACTGATCAAATACTTGCTGGGAATAAAATTACAATGACAAGCCTATCCAATGAAAAAAAAATCATTCACATAGTTAGATATTATTCTTCTAAAATGGACATATAACTTTCTAATGTCTTTATATATATGTTATCGATAAAAATGGCATTATGTTCTAATAAACCAGAAGATGTATATTTTATCATTTCAATCTATGCATTTGTGACATTTTTTATAATTATCAGAATATATATTTTTAAAAAAATTATATCTTCATTGATTTCAGAGAGAGGGAAGGAGAGAGAGAGATAGAAACATCAATGATGATAAGTCATTGATCAGCTGCCTAGCCTGCAACCTGGGCATGTGCCCTGACCGGGAATTGAACCCACATCGCCTGGATCCTAGGTTGATGCTCAACTGTTGAGCCAAGCCGGACCGGGCAGAATATACATTTTAATTTCTACATCAGAGCCTTTTTCTTTAAAAAATAATTTTATATTTCAATTAAAGTTTACATTTAATATTATTCAATATTATTTTCATGTGTACAGCATAGCGGTTAGATATTGCATACTTTACAAAGTGATACCTCCTATATTTTAAGTACCCACCTGGCACCATACATAGTTATTACAGTATTATTAACTATTTTTCCTATACTGTATTTTATGTCCCCGGGACTATTTTGTAACTACCCACTTCTATTTGTTAATCCCTTCACCTTTTTCACCCAGACGTCCAACCCCTCCCTTCTCATGCAGCCATCACTTTGTTCTCTGTATCTATAGTCTGTTTCAATTTTACTTTATTTTGTTCTTTAGAGTCCACATATAGGTGTGTATTGCCTCTTTTTTATCTACTTGTCTATCGTTGGGCACTTGGGGTACTTCTATATCTTGGCTATTGTAAATAATGCTGCAGTGATATTAGGGGCATATATTCTTTTGAATTAGTATTTTGGATTTCTTTGGATATATAGCCAGAAGTGAAGTCGCTGGGTCATAAGGTAGTTCTAGTCTTAATCTGTTGAGGAATCGCCTTACTGTTTTCCACAGTAGCTGCACAAATCTGCATTCCCACCCACAGTGCACAAGGGTTCCCTTTTCTCCACATCCTCACCAACACTTGTTGTTTGTTGATTTATTGATGAGAGCCTTTCAGACATGTATGAAGTGATACCTTGGCGTGGTTTTAAGTTGCAATGCTGTGATGATTAGTGATGTTGAGCATGTTTTCATATGTGTATTGGCCATCTGTATGACTCATTGGAGAAGTTTCTATCCAGGTCTTCAGCTCACTTTTTAACCCGATTGTTGTTTCTATATTGAGTAGTATGAATTCTTCAAAACTTCTGGATATTAATCCCTTATCAAGTGTGTCATTGGAGAATATGTTCTCCCATTCAGGAGGTTGTTTTTTTGTTTTGTTGATGATTTCCTTTGTTGTGCAAAAAGTTTTAGTTTGATGTAGTCCCATTTGCTCATTTTATTTTTTCCTTGCCAGAGGAGCGATGTAAAAAAAATATATTGCTAAGAAAAATGACTGAGATTTTACTGCCTATGTTTTCTTCTAGGAGTTTTATGGCTTTGAGTCTTAATTTAAGTCTTTAATCCATTTTGAGTTTATTCTTTTTAAAAATTTTTTGAAAAAATATGTCTGTATTGATTTCAGAGAGAGGAAGGGAGGGAGAGAGAGAGGAAAACATCAATGATGAGCGAGTCATTGACCGGCTGCCTCCTGCACGCCCCTACTGGGGATCGAGCCCGCAATTCACGCGTGCGCCCTGACTGAGAAGGAACCTCGATCTCCTGGATCCTCGGTCGATGCTCAACCGCTGAGCCAGGCCATCCGGGCTGAGCTTATTCTTGTATATGGTGTCAGAAGGCGGTGTAGTGTCATTTGTTGCTGGTAGTTGTCTAGTTTTCCCATCACCATTTATTGAAAAGACTGTCTTCACCCCACTGTATGTTGTTTTGCCTCCTTTGTTGTATATTAATTGATCATATTTGCGTGGGTTTGTTTCTGGGCTCTCTGTTGTGTTCCATTGATCTATATGTCTGTTTTTATTTCAGCACCATGCCATTTTGATTACCACAGCATCGTATTATAGTTTGATGTCAGGTGGCATGATACCTCCAACTTTGTTCTTCTTTCTCATTATTTCTGTGGCTATTCAGGGGGCCTTTCATGGTTTCATATGTTTCTGGATTATTTATTCTACTGCTGTGAAAAACACCATTGGTATTTTGACAGGGATTGAATTAAAAACTATAGGTTGCTTCCTCTTTGGGCAATATGGACATTTTAACGATATTAATTCTTTCTATCCACATCGTAGCTTTTTTTCAATTCCCACATATTTATCCTTGCTATAATTTCAAAGTAATAAATTATTTGAATGCGTTACATTTACATGGGCATATATGTATCTGCTGAAACCTTGAAAGAAATATCAACTCTGATTTGTACACTCTTGTCTTCATGTTTCTGTTTATGGTTTCTCAAAACAATGAGAAATTGGCTAGGCAGAAGAGCAACACCGTCAAATGAAATATATTTCTTTACTTTAAAGAGTTTAGAGATTAGGGGTGATATTTTAAAATTACATTTTAGTTACTTTTGCTCTTCACTCTTAAGAGGTTTTCTTTAAAAAAAAAAAAAATGCTAATGTTGTACACATTACTTTTAGTATGTAAACAGTTTTCCTTGAATAACCTGGCTGTTGTTTCTAGCATTGTTTCATTAAGGCTTATTTGTGGCTCTTCATTTTGGTCTACAGCTTCATTTCCATCTGGGATGAAGTAGACCAAAACCCTACATTTGACCTATTTTTCTGTTAGCCACTCATTCAGTAATCAATATAGATACTATAGACAATACTNTCGCTCATTCAGTAATCAATATAGACACTATAGACAATACTGTATCACTTTTAGGTCTGATAGCAGCAATAGGTGTGTTTTTTAACCATAGTTGTTCTTGTCCAAAACTTTTCCCCAGAGTTCCATCATTGGTGAATTGGATGTTAAAGAAGCACTTGGATGTCTTTGCTAAAGGAGTTATAGACAGAAGTTGGACACAGAATAGGCAAAAATACAAAAATGCCTGTCATAGAAATCATTAGGTCCCTTTCTTCAGACTGTTTCTACTGTAATATCTGCTTCATTGTTGTTGCTTGTTTCTTTTTTTTCCTTTTTTTTTATCCTTCAGGCATGGATCCCAAAATACAAAGGTCCAATCTGCCCAGAGAGTGTATCCGGCATTTCTTCCCAAAACGGAAGTGTTTTGTCTTTGACCGGCCAACAAATGATAAAAAACTCCTAGCCAATATTGAGAAGATTGAAGAACACCAACTGGACCCTCAATTCCAGGAACAAACACAGAATTTCTGTTATCACATCTTCACCCAGGCGAGGACCAAGACCCTCAGAGAAGGAATCATAGTCACCGGGAAACGTGAGTCTCCTTTTGTCATTCTGTGGGGCCTGATATTTGTTTAGTATATTCTATGATGTGTTCTCCAGGATTTCTGTTTGGTTCTATATTGAATTTTGGGTCTAAATATATTCAGACTCCATTGAAGAAAATGTATGCTTATCACACTATTGGGGGGTTACAAATTCCTCTCCAATATTACAACCTTTATCAACAAAGTCTGCAGCATCCATACATATAAAAAATCTTCAAGTATAATAAATCACTAACTGGGTATAAAAACAGAATACACCGTTTCCTCAAAAACTCCGTTATAAGGAATGTGATTTGCAAGGAGAATACAAAACATATTTTGAGAGTTTAGGGTAATTTAATAATGAATATTAGCCCACAAAGCTCTGAAAATTTACTGGAAGCTTCAGAATTAGGAATAAATATAATGGCAGTTCCCCTGCCTCATCTGTACACCTATGTAAACAATTTGCTTCTAATACTTTTAATGGGAAATTATGTTTTCCAGATATCCTTTAGTATGTTAGATAATGGTAGATATTGAATTTGTTTTAGCCTTGTGGTCTGAATAAACATAAAAATTAAGAGTCTGTGGGGCAATAGTATTAGTGGAGGAAATGTGATCTTCTACAGTGTTGTGTGAAAATAATTTCAGGGACCCTCGTGTTGGAGTCGTTTTTAGCGATGGTTGCAAGGTTTATTAAAGCGAAAAGCAACATTACACTCTCAGGGAGACAGAGAGCGGGCAGGCTAGAAGGCAGCTATTGCCTGGAGGCCTTGTTAAGCTTCCTTATATATCCTGGGGTTTGGGAAAGGGCAAGCTTTCTTTCAAATTATCCTGTCTCTTTAGGGTCTTGTGTCCTTTTATCCAATCTTTTCCCTAGATTTTCCCAGGCTAGTGCCCTCCCCCTTTTATTGCCTTCATTTGGCTCTTACTGCACATGCCTTATAGTTCTGCTTCATCATTTGGCTTCTGCGCATGTACTTAGTAAAGGAATTCCTTCTGTGCCATTTTCTTGCATCCCAGTTAGTTGGGTGTACTCCCTAGGGTGACTGAAAAGCTGTTTTCCCTCACTTAATCAGGCTTAATCAGATGTGTGATTACATTTGCTTCCTGGCCTATTGTTAGTATCTAACTAACTACATACTCCAAGAATAGTAGAAGGAGGTAATGTGTTTGTGTTTGTGTGTGGAGTGGCGTGGGGAATGTGCATATGTGTGTGTTTGTGAGAGAGAGAAACAGAGAGAAAGACACAGAGAGAGAGAGAGATTTAGAAATGTAGTCTCAGAATCTTGGATCCCACTGAATGATAACTTGATATTTATCCCTTAAATTTCCTGGCTTTTTAGGGCTAAAGACTCTGGTGGTGACTTATGTGGATGCCATCAACAGTGGAGGAGTGCCTTGTTTGGAGAACGCGGTGACAGCTCTGGCCCAGCTTGAGAACTCGGCGGCCGTGCAGAAGGCAGCCGAGCACTACAGCCAGCAGATGGACCAGCTAGTGGAGTTCCCCACAGACACGCTCCAGGAGCTGCTGGACCTGCACGCAGCCTGTGAGAAGGAGGCCATTGCAATCTTCATGGAGAAGTCCTTCAGGGATGAAAACCAGGTGTTCCAGAAGCATCTTGTGGTAATTTGTCTCAGTATTTATTTACCCTTTGTGGCCCTTCCCTTGAAGAATGAAGCCTGGAAGAGCTTCTGTGACCCCCTTCCTCCTCTCTCTCTCCTGGATTAAGCAGCCTGGATTCTTATGAGCGATAGAGCTTCAAAAGACTGCATTTTCTTCCCTTCCTCCCCCCAAACCTTAGGAACTTTATGCAAAAATTTCTCTGATCTCTCATGCATAATCAGTATAGATAGCTTTCTGAAAAGAATACCTGTATTGAATTCAAGCCTGCCCAGAACACCCAAAAGCCATTCCTTGGCTAATCGCTTTTTTGAGAACACTCTCCCATTCAAGGAACCAAACCTCTCCTAACAGACCCTCATTCCAGGCTATTTTGAACTCCTATGAGCTCCTCGTGGTATCACTGTGTCATCCAAGATGGAATTGCTGAAAGTCAGAGCTGCTAGGAACCATAGGGACAAGGGAATGCAAGTCGAACATTGTTGATGAAGAACCTGAGACTCAGGGAGGTTAGAAGCTTTCCCCTGCCCCAGGTGGCATTTTCAGTGTTGTGAGTAAGTCGAGTCTCGCAATTCCTGCTTTATTCCATGTCCTTCTCCAACAGAGTGCTTTGCTCATGAGGACCACAGCTAGACTTCCCTCTACCAGATTCTATGGAATTTTATCTCCTCTCTTCCTTTCTTTTAATCATATCCCTCTATACTTCCCTTGCAGCAGATGATCAGGGATAAGAAGGATGAGTTTGTGCGGAGGAATGAAGAGGCATCTACCAAATACTGTGAGGCTGAACTTGAACAGCTTTCAGTGAACCTACTGGAAAGTATTTCAGCAGGCATTTTCTCTGTTCCTGGTGGTTACGAGCTCTACATGGAAGCAAAGGACAGGATTGAACGGGACTACTGGCAAGTGCCCAGGAAAGGGGTGAAGGTGAGGAACAAGGGGAGCATAGGGATCCTACTGATTAAAGTCAAGAGGGTCTCCTGAAAATCTGTGAGCACAGCACCAGTTGTGGGTAACATGAGAGCAAGGGGATATCATGACCATTTTAGCTTTTAGGGCCCATTATTTGTTCTGTCTTACTGAAGAGAGAAGAAAAGTCCATTCTCAAAAATGAATATGGATTTCTGAAATCCAGAAGAGACAGAAGAGAAATAATCATTTTTCTATCCAACCATATGACATTCAAAGGCAGAGAGTTTACGAATTAAAGTCAGAGTCTTTGCTTTCAAGGCTGATCGAACGAGAAAAGGCAGCCAAACACACAGACACCTTCACACAGGGTTACAATCCTTATGAACCTGAGATCATTGGCTCCCTAGCTGATGGGAACACATAATATTAAAATAATAATGATGATTTTGCAACTAATACACATCAAACGGTTATTGTTAAGGCACACTATGAAGCTCTTTCCCTCGACTTTTAATTTAATCCTTCAAGTAGCATTAAGAAGCATCTACACTTTTTGTCAACAATTTACACATCCGAACTGAGAGGCAGAGACGGGTTAAAACGACTTGCCTGAAGTTACAGCGAGCAAGTGACAGAGGAGAACAGCAGCACTAATTGGAGACATTTCACCCTGGAAGGCAAATGTGAAAACGCAGCAGAGACTGTGGGTTTGTAGGTGTGAACATGGTTCTCCCTGGCTGGAACCTGGAGTGGGTAGAAGGAGGCAGCTCTGGGAGAGACACTGGAGGGAGACAGGAGGCAGTAGGGCATGGAGGGCCTCTGGTCACTCCAAGGAGCCTGGACACTGTGTAGGACACGATGCAGTTTTAATCATGAAGGAAAAATTACAGGGACATACTTGTTTTTGCAGCACTGTTCTTCCCAGTGGAGATCAAGTTCTTTTTCCTTCTTGTTTCCTCAGGCAAAGGCGGTGCTCCAGAGCTTCCTGCGGTCGCAGGTGGCCATCGGGAAGTCCATCCTGCAGGCGGACAGAGCGCTCACGGACAAGGAGAAGGCCATGGCAGGTACGGGCAGGGTGGGCTCATGGTGGGCCGCGGGCCCCGCAGTGTCCTCGGGCAGCTGCGAGAGCAAAGCCTTCCTGCAACAAGGAGAGTTTGCTTCTTCTGTGGGCCGTACTCTGCTAAATCTGAAAACATTCGGGCACAGCAGCCAGGCAGGGCCTTTCCCGCCGCACTGTGAACTGTGCTCTTGACGGTGCCAAGGTGGGAATTCAGAGTCCTCCCCCTCCCTTTCCAGTTTGGTTTGGTCTCTGAGCTCAGGAGGGTAGAGATCAATCCTCACATACTTTCCTTCCCTCTCTCAAACCTGCCTGGGGCAGAGGAGCGGGCCAGGAAGGAGGCAGCTGAGAAGGAACAGGAGCTGATGACACAGAAACTGCAGGAGCAGCAGCAGCAGATGGAGGCGCAGAAGAGGAGTCTCGAGGAAAATATATGTCAACTGAAGGAGAAGATGGAGAGGGACAGAGAGAACCTAATCAGAGAGCAGAACTCGATGTTGGAGCATAAACTGAAGGTAAGTCCTGCGGTGGCCTCAGGGCGCTCAGTGGCCCTTATCCGGGTACCTCCGCTGGGCCGGAGGGGGTTACAGCCAGACCGTGGGAGGAAACGCCGTTGCCATTTACGACTTGTGTTTTAGTAAAACCTTGAATCTTCCCCTCCACCCCCTTCTTTGTGAAAATATCTTTGAAATCACCTCTGATGTGGTCAGGACAAGCATCTCACCTCTGAATACTTGGAGAATATAAATAGCATTTGAGGTGCTATTTGGGGGCATTTTAAAATGATCTCATGTGGCCTGATTAAACAGCTATTTGAAACACCATTATTTGTTATGACCACCAACTGGTTTGCTTTACCAAGATCATTATGTATTATCAGGAACCTTATGTATTATCAGGAACCCTACTACCACCCAAAGACCCTGAGGTAGATCTATGCTCACAATAAACCATTAGAAATGTCCAGACTTCAAAACTCAGGGAAATGACAGCTTTTAAACTGGCTGCATTGTTTCCAAGTGTGGATAGTTTACCCAAGTTACCATATGGCAAAGGAAGAATTCCTGATTGGCTCTCTGTACATGTTAAAATAGAGCTATAGAACAATGTAGGATTTCCCATGGCTTCCACACTTTGGTTGACCACATTATTCCAAGTGGGACTGAGAGTTAGTGCCAGCAGACCAAGGTTGCCTCTCAACTGTAATTATGACTGGCACATATTACATTTGTCCTCAGGCCAGGCTTAGCATCCCAGAAAACCCTATTGATGTGTGAATATTTGTGAAGCTGTAAACGATGCTTTCTTTCAGTTTTCGGTCCAAGACAGCGTGTATTGTTGCAAAATTTTCCTTGATTGTGTAAGAGAGAGCAATTTTAAGAGCGAAAGAAAAGACTTCAAATATTTAAGAACATGTTCTTAAATACAAAATGTAATTCTTGAGAAACTGTGAATTTAAAAAGTTTTACTTCCCTCCTCATTTTTTTTAAGGTTCAAAGAGATCTGCTGAAAGAAGGATTTACAAAGAAATCTGAAGAGATGAATGCAGAGATCAATCGTTTGCGAAAGATGATTGATTCTACTGAAGATGACACTCCCTGGATTGCAAAAGCCTTAGATAAACTTGGCACTGAACTCACTATTATATTGTCTGCTCCTGCTCAACTTGTTGGTTCTCTTGTAAAAGGCATTGGCTCACTATTTAAAAAGAAATAGTTCTCCTTTGAAGGAAATTATAGAATGTGGATATATGCTATGGCTTGCTTTGGCATGCATTGTTTTCGATTTCATTCATCCACATTTTAAACATAAAAAGTGAGTACTAAAATATATAAATGCTGAGCCCACGTTAAATAGAATAAATGCACATACTCTTAGATATAGTATGTTCACTTTTTGAAATACATACGTTGCCCGGCTGGGCATGGCTCAAAGGTTGAGCGTTGACCTAGGATCCAGGCGATCAGGGTTCGATTCCTGGTCAGGGCACATGCCTGGTTGCCGGCTTGATCAGTGACTCTCTCATCATTGATGTTTCTATCTCTCTCTCTCCCTCTCCTTTCCTCTCTCTGAAATCAATAAAGATATATTTAAAAAAAAAAGAAATATATATGTTTAAATAAATACACTTACAAACAATCCATTGAGTTATCACTTTAAATGACAAAAGATTGGAAACTACTTATATATTCACCTATGTAAATTGGTAATATAAATTTAACATGTGCATATACCGGAATACTATGCAGCTAGTAAATAAATTGAGAGTTCAGACCCATTTTTATAAATATGCAAGAATCTTGAAAATACATTTAAAGTGGAAAAAATGAGGCAAAAAATGTGTATAATGGGCTTTCTGGGAAAATGTAATTATTGTGTGCAATCCTACATTTGTACGCATTGAATATCTATGGGAGCCCTGGAAGAAGCTAGTACTATCAGTTCCTACTTGGGAGAAGTGGGTGGGATCAGGGTTTACCAGTCACAGGTTTTTCATTATATACTCTTGCTTTTGAATCTTATAGAGAAATCTTGTATTACCATTTCATAAATAAATAATAAAGAAAATGTAAAGTGTAAGAATAATTTTATAACAATAATAAGAATGTAAAAAAGGCTATTAGATGATGAAAGTTCTCATTGCTTCTAGAAATGACATCAACCTGCACAATTGGGGGTTTAAGATTAAGTATAGAAAGTATAAAATTTGTATCCTAATCTTGTTTTTATTTGAGCCTTGTTCTCAATCCATTATATTTGCTTCAGAACTAGGATATACACTCTCCTGTCTCACTTTGAAATCTCAGCCAGAGCATCTTCTACTTGCTGTCACCGAACTATACTTTTAAGGTATTAGAAGCAAATTACCAAACGTAAGAATATGCACTGGTGAGAGGGATCCTATCATCCTTCAAAGTGCAGTGGTGGCCTCATTGCTACAGGCAAAAACAGAGGGGACATGTGCCATTGCAGAACTGGATGGCTTGATAGTTTTGGGGATGATACACCTTGACACGTGGAGGCCAGGTGTTGGCACATAAATATCAGAAAGCAATTAGATACAATGATAGTAATCAGCATCATGGTTTGTCTTAGCTCAGGCTGCTATAAGAAGTTACCATACATTGTGTGGCTTAGAAAGCAAATATTGATTTCTTCTCGTTCTGGAGACTTGTTAGTTCAAGATCGGTGTGCCAGTATTGGTGGGTTCTTGATCAAAACTCTCTTCCTGATATACAGAGGGCTGTTTTCTTGCTGTTTCTTCCTAAGTGGAAAGGGTGGGAGGAGCTCTCATGATTTTTATTGTAATGGTAGTCAAACAATAGTGCAAGAGAGAGTAAGTTAGTGAAATATAATTGTCAACTTATTGTGTGGTGGAAAAAAATAACTTTCAAAAGTGGGTGCAAAATTTATATTTGGAGGAGATTTTTTCTTGAATAAGTCAAGTCTGAAAAAGTTCTAAATATTTTACTTTAGGCAAAAATAAAGATAGCCCAAGTACAAAGTCTGTAGTACAAAAGGGAATGCAGATCCAAAACAGCAGTAGATATGTCCATATAATAAAACCGAGAAGATAAAAATTTCCATAAAATAATTCAGGAAGAGTCTGGATAGAGATCGAGTGTTATAAGGTCCTTGAATTGTTTTCAGGAGAATAAGATGAGTAATTCTGAGTTTCACCATTTAAGTCTAAGTACAGTCATTTATAATGTAATCAGTTAAAGAACAGAGAAAGTTTTTAATTTCTATACTAGGAGACATAAAAATAATTTTCACACATCTCAGTAAGTAAAAATAAAATAATAATAATTAAAAACATTGATTAACACATTTGGCCTACTGTACTAATGTAGAACCCTGCACCCAACAGTACAAGACACATCCTTTTTTTTAAGCACACTAAGAAACTTCACATGATCTTTACCTATACCACACCACAAAGCAGGATTAGTAATGTCTCTAGAAGCAGAGTCCTGCTGATGGGCTCTTGTGCATGTGTTTATTGAGGGAGTGTTTTCAGTAAAAGGGGTCTAAGGGAAGCAGGAATGGGCCAGAAAAGAAACATTAAAAGAGGNCTTTCAATAAAAGGGGTCTAAGGGAAGCAGGAGTGGGCCAGAAAAGAAACATTAAAAGAGGCTATGGTTGCAGTAAAAGAATGGCTTCAAGCTGATCCATTGGAACCTCTGTAGCACAAATAGCATGGCAGTTTGTCCCTACTTGAGCAAAGTGCTAGACATTTGTGCCCCATCAGGCATAAATTTTAACTTTAAGACCAAAAAACGAGCTAGCCTTATATTCTTTATGTCTAGCATTACATTTTCATATTGTCGCCTAGTGGAACAAAATTATAAAATAACAGTAAAGAAAAACAGAGGGAGAAGCGAGGGCAGGCTCTTTGATCCAGTTGATAAGGAAGGACTCTCTTTCTTTGATTTGTTGCTCAACACTCATCTTGCAACAATCTGCACGTCTCAGTAAATACAGGGTCACAATACTAACCCTGCTTATGTTCACTTCTAGAAATTGCCAAGTTAGAATAAAGGTGTTTTAGCAAAGCTGTCTCTGGTATTGGTGCATATAGTTTTAGAGATATGACAGAATTTTCAGCTCTAAATATTGCATGATTCCATTTTAGAAGATGATCTCATGGCTAACCAGGTAGAGATTAAATCTTTCCAGCTGCTTTTGCATCAAGGGGACATGTGCACATGAAGTATGAGCAGAATTATAACTATGTTATCTCTGGGTCTGGGTCAGAGAAATTGGAGCTTGTTTGTCACCGGTTACTCTTTTCCATTTACTATCTGGCCATCGGATGTGGATAACTCAACCCTTGACCTTGCAGATATGTCCAAGGCCTTAGTGGATAAAGAACAACAGAATGGAAGAAACCTGAAATCTCTGAAAGATGAGGTGGAACCTAGAGTGGTGGGACTGTAATATGCCTTCTAAGCTGTAGCATCAGCCTCTTAAATGATCTTGACCTCCAATGTCTTCAATTTATTCATTTTACTCCTGCCATCAGAGAAATGGATTTCAAACGTGGCTCCGAGCATGCTTAGTAACCATCAAAGTATCTGCCTGCCTCTGCAACATTGTCCATGATCCAGGTCCCAACTGATCTTTCTACTTTATTCCCAGTGAGCCCACTATACTGGCTATATTGGACCTGGCTGATTTCTAGCTCCTACCTCCTAATTTTGTATACTTGCTCGTTCCCTTTCATTGCCTTCAAATATCTTTCCTCCCTCCAATCACCCTTTTTTCAAAAGTGAGTCATTCTTTAAGATCCAACAGAAATAAGAATTTTCTGTGAGGCCATCTATAAACCTTCCTAACCTTTCCTAATATAATTAACTGTTGCTTTTGTGGACACAAGCACTTTTTTTGTAACATCGCTTTCTAACACTCATCACTTCTTACTTTAATTTATTTTTGCCTCTTTCAAGGTATAGATTATCCCAAGGTTAAGACCTTTACTTTGTTCATCTTTAAACAGGCAAAGGTAATGGCCTCACAATTATATTACATGTACCAGTGAAATGCACCACCATGAGTTGCAGGAAAACAATAGCATTGCCCAAATTAAAAATACAAATATACGGAAGTTATAAAGACTGACAAACTAATATCAAACATCAAGATTACATCATAACTCTGAAAATAACAAGTCTAGGATGTAAACTCATTTTAAAAGTAAATGAATGAATGAATGAATGAATGAATGAATAAATAAATAAATAGAGAAAAGAAAAAAGCCCAGCCAGTGTGGCTCAGTGGTTGAGTGTTGACCCATGAACCAGGAGGTCGGTTCGGTACCTGTCAGGGCACATAACCCCGGTTAGAGGCTCAGTCTCTGGTAGGGGGCGTGCAGGAGGCAGCCAGCTGATCAATAACTCTCTCCCATCATTGATGTTTGTATCTCTCTCTCCCTCTTCCTTCCTCTCTCTGAAATCAATTAAAAAAATTAAAAGACAAATATTCCCATAAAAATATGATTGGTAATATTTATTCACATACTAAATAAAATAGGACATTTCAATTTTCAAACTTTTGATTTATTTTATGATTATTGTAGTCAACATAACAGATGTCTTGGAACAAGTTTTTCATTTTAGTAATCTATTTATGATGACTCTATAAAATTGAATCTAACATCTAGCTGTTGCTACTCTTTTTATCATGTAGTCAAAGAGCCAGTTTCAACCAGACATATTGGTGAAAGTGGAATTAACACTTTAATGTCTTTGAAAGCAACACAGAATATTCTAAGCAGACAAAAACAGGCAATGAGCCTAATCCAAAATTTTTCCAATAACACAATGGCTACCTAGATCCCCCCAGAAGGCAACAGGTGGACCAAATGACTAATTTGTTTACACAGTTCTGACCAGTAGTCTAATACAAGTGGCATCCCTTGAAATTACATATATTTTCTTTCTGAATTATTATTCATACTAATTTTCAAATATGGGGAAATGAAAGTTAACAGCAGATAAAAGCAGAAAACCGAGGCAATACTTGTGGAACTTGCCAACTTTTAAAAATTTGTTGATGGTGATGATTTCTTTGTTCAATTTCAATGTTCGCGTTTGAGTTTGTATTTTTATATTATCTTATTTAAAGAAACAATCAAAATGTAAACTCAGGACCCTGATAGTCCCCCACAGAGCCACCACAGTAAAAGTAAGTGGAAGAATATGCTACAAACTACTAGTGACTATCTCTTGACTGGAAAAACAGGCGTTGTATGCACATGGTCATTGATACTGAGGAAGGGTAAGTTCATAACAAGAGTGAAAACAAAGTCAGATATGAAAAGGGAGTCTAAGCATAAAATTAAAGCAACGACCCTTACTGCCTTTCAGCAAAGTACCCGAGCGACAGGCCGCGCTCCCGTCAGCCTGCTGCCCGGGGTCCCCTTGGCATCAGGGACACAGGCCCTGAGGAGGGGCTGCCTGTTCTGGGGGGACCCGCGACAGGCGACCACCAGAGTTTGTGTTTGAATTCTGGAGCCTTTATTAGCTGCCAGCGGCTACAGTTGCAGCGTCTCACCCACGTGAGAGCCCAACTGCAGCCCCGACCCTCAGTTCTTCCCTCATTGTATACCCAGTAACCACAGAGGCGCTGCAGTAAAGGGGTTTCCAAGAATTTGTCAGGCTGTCAGGTTTGGTTACAGGAAACAAGGGGGACCTTTAGCAACACAAAAGGGGAGATTTAAACACAATGTGTTACGATGAGTAATGGGGTTATGCTTGGCCTGAGCGTGACTGGTTTGTTCTTTCTATGGGAACTCAGGGGGGGCGGTAATTATTGGGCTGGCTTGTCAGGGCTTGTCCTGTGCAGTGGGGATCTTGTTCTACCTTTACTGTTAGTTCCTTAGGTATATTCTTCTGCTT